TACAAGAAATGTGGAAAAGAATTGATACCCTTACTCCACCAGACTCTTAACTGGACTCACACTAAACATGTGATTCTCTCCTCTTGGAGGGAGGCGATTATCACGGTGCTGCCAAAACCACAAAAACAAAGAGAATACTGCCAACATCACAGGCTTATATCAGTGTTAAATGTTGATTATAAAATCTATACTACAATCCTATCAAATAGGCTCCAGTCGTTTATAGCAGACCTGATAGATGAGGACCAAGCAGGTTTCATCAAAAACAGACAGGCACAAGATAATATCAGAAGGACACATCATACACCAGATACATAAAGACAAGATACCGGCTGCGTTGATAAGTTTAGACGCAGAAAAAGCCTTCGATCGAGTCAGCTGGGACTTCCTGTACCTAACCATGGCAAAGGGTTCACTACAAAATCAATCCAATGTATCAAATCTCTCTATGACAAACCGACTGCAAGACTAAAAGTTAACGGCTGACAAAGACATTTCAACTAGAGAGAGGAACCAGACAGGGTTGTTGTTTAAGTCCAACCTTATTTGCCTTCTATATTGAGCCATTGGCACAAATGATTAGACAAGACTCCCTAATAACAGGAATAGAAATCAATAATCAAGAGCTGTAATTAGTCTGTTTGCTGATGATGTGTTGATTTGCCCTCAAAAAACCCACAAACTCTTTTATGCAGCTCACAGAAATGTTAGGAAAATTTGTTACACTTTCTGGCTACAAAGTAAATAAAACTCAAGTTCTGTTTATTTGTACACCAACTCAAAATCTTAAGGAAAGAGAAATAAAGTGGGAGGCAAAAACCCTTAAATATTTAGGTATAAATATAACCAAAAACTATGCCAAACTATATCAAAGTAACTATGGACATATAAATAACAGGATGAGGCAGGATATGGAAAGATGGAATACATGTCCGTTAGGATTTAGTGACAGGATGTGATAAAGATGAATATCTTACTACGATTGCTATATTTATTCCTCTCTCTTCCGATAAGCTTACCTCAAACCCAACTCTCAGAACGGGATAAATATATATCTAGATTTGTCTGGGGTACGATACACCACTTTACAGCTTACTAAGGAGAAAGGAGGAATGTCGCTTCCTGATTTAAAAGAATATTTTCGTGCTGCACAGATACAGCAGATAACATATTGGTGTAGTGATGATTACGGGGCTCGCTGGAAGGATGTGGAGCTCTCCACACTCAATGTCCCAATTCAGACAAACATGGGTATAAAAACCCTGAATACGTAACTAAAGACCAAGATAGGAAGCCGATAATATCCTTTACATTAAATGTTTGGTATGATACAGTAAAGGAGTTCAGAATTGGTAAAGAGCTCAGATTGCTAAAATGGGTAGCCTTCGATGAAGAATTTAGAGCAGGAAACTGGATCTTGGTTTTAAAAATTGGAATGAAAAGAGAATCACAGCAATTTGTTTATTAATCAAAAAAGGAGAAATAAAAGGTTTTGAAGAATTAAAACGAGAATACAACTTAAAAAACAAGGATTTTTTCAGATACTTACAGGTGAGAGATTACTTTAATAAAAACATAAAAATAAAGGAAGACAAAATCCATCCTATTATAAAAATAATTATACTGGCATATAAAAGTGTTATTCCAAGAACAGCGTCTACCCTATAATGTTTGATGGAGTCAAGACAGGAATCAACTGTATATGTTAGAGTAAAATGGGAA